CTATGGACTGATGAAGCAAAAGTTTAACTTTTTGGAACATCTGAGTCCTGTTACATATGGTGTAAAACTAACACAGCATTTCATAATAAGAACATCATCCAGCCAGTCAAATGTGATGGTGGTAGTATGACAGTCTGGAGCTGCTTTGCTGTTTTAGGACCTGGAAGACTTAATATCAGCTGATGGAACCATGAAATCTGCAGCAGGTCAACTGTGAATGGCTAAAAAACCAAAACCAACAACAACAAAAACAGCATGAAACGTTTGTAGTGCCCTAGTCAAAGTTCAGACTTGAACCCAGTGGACATGCTGTGGCTTGATGTAAACAAGCTATTCATGTTTGAAACCCTCCAGTGTGGCTTTATTAACACAATTCTGTATCAGAGTGGGCCAAAATTCTTCCACAGTCATGTGACACTCTTATTACCAGTTATCACAAATGCTTGATCGAAGTCCTTGTTGCCAAGGGTAGAACAACTAGTTATTAGGTTTAGGGTGAAATAATCTTTTCACATAGGGTCAGGTAGATTTGCATAGCTTTTTTTTCTCTTAATTTTTCTTTAAAAAAATAGCATTTTGTCATTTGTCTAATGTTAAAATCTGTTTGATAATTTGAAACATTTCATTGTGGGAAATACACAAAGGGAAAAAAAAATCTTGTTAGAGCACTCTACATGAGTACCACGCAGAGTGCTTTCTTCCAGTGGATGTAGATGTCATGGTGGGGTCATCTTATTACTTTTGCCAGCAGAGAAGAGCAGATAGCTGTCGGCCTCAGCAATGGCGTGAATGGCTGCCAGTCAATGCGTGTGGAGTGTTGGTCCTGCAGCCCTGTGAGAAGAGACCGAGCCCTCCTGAACCAGCCGGCCCATGACTGTGGACATGCCTACTGCTCCCTCCTCACTCCAGACACAGCAGGATGGGGAGACAACAGCGACTCAGGCCAGGGCACCTTCAGCCAGCCCACGGGGAAAGGCACCAACGAGCTAGAGGCACCTCACACGAACCACAGCCTGGAAGACTGTGAGACAGACCCCGATGACACCTCTGCCTTTGACTATTCCTCAGTCACCTCATGTAGCCCTGATGGCACTCTGCGCAGAGAAATGACCGGTAGCAACAGCGGGGAGGATGAAGAGGAAGACAGCCAGGTGCCAGTGCTGTTAAAGCCCTCATACAGTCAGCAGCAGCAGGTCAAAGAGACACCAAGAGAGAGGACTGTGTGTCTGAGGTGGCAGATTCCAAGACTGACCCCTCACCCTCCTCTGAGGAACCCATCAGGACCCCACATGGACGGGCCAACGCCGTGTCTCGTCAGCTCCTACGGGAAGAGGTTAGTCAGCGTTAGAAAGGGATCGCCTCCTCTTCACCCGAAAAGTGCCTTCAGGCCAATCTGGGATGATCCGTCAAAGCAGGTATTCACTTTTAATTTAATACACCTTTCAGTGCTGTTTTTTTGCAGAGTTTGTTCCTTCCAGGTGGTATAGTGCTGCAACAGCTCCCACTGAGATCATCTTATTCTTTATTTATGTGGAAAATGCTATCAAAACAACCTTTGATATTCTGCACATAGTGACCTCGATCAAATAGGGGATCAGAAAATTCTCTATAATGTCTTAACGATTTTGCCATTTAGAAAATCTGTTGGAGAATATATCAATATCAATAGTCAGACCATCGATCAAATCATTCAGAATTGTCAATTTGTTTGGGTGTCTTACCTAAACAGATGTTAAAGACAGTCATCTGAGGCATCATCGTGAAATGGTGGAGAATTGTTTTAATTTGAAGTATCTCCAGATACCACATGACTGATTCTCCAGCCTGTTAATGCTTTAATATATACCTGCACTTCACGTGTCTTCATGGCGCAGGCTGATTCAGCCCCAGAGAAAGACAACAGGCAAGGTTTCATTCCGATTCAGGCTCCAGCGAGGCAAAACTTTCAGAATTTCAACCCGAGCAGAGAAAATTTGAGGTAAGAGCATCAAATATGTGATACCAGTGAACCTTTCTCCAAGGCAAGTTGATCAAACATGCTCGGGGAAATTGCACTGCGATTATTTGCGATTGAATGAATCTAAATATGATCACTAAGCTGACTTTCCTAACGCATCTCCCATCTCTTCAGGACAGGGCTGGCTCAGCAGCGAGTGAACCATGCAGCAGCAGCCATGAGCAGTGGAGGATTGTGGGATGACAGTGAGGACAGCGAGGGACCGTGCAGCACTGTTTGATGACTGCCATTTAAAAAAATAAACTTTGAAGTTACATCCAAAACCTGAGCACAAGCATTTTTCCACAAGGCCTCTAAAGCCGTGAAGTGCATGAATGAGCAATGAGCAAATAACAATCAGGGACTGTTTTTGGATTTGATGTTAAATTAAAGCTTGATTGAGCTCTGCAGAACTCTTTGTTCTTTATGTCTTGTCTTTTCAGGATTACACTTTTTTATGTGAGCAGGATCACGCTTAAGCCCAGGTTCAACTCACTGTGGAAGAGAAAGAAAAAACAAAAAGCAGCAATAATCAGATGTTTCATCAGGATTTCATGCTTGAAAGACTTTAATGGTCCCAATGAGACAATTTAAACAGGTTGCATAGCTTAAAAAATGATTAACTAAAATGTTTACCTCTACTTTAATATTTACCTAAAGTCCTTTACTACATAAAAGAAAACAACTCTCACTGACCTGCTAATATCTGTGGTCTTTTACTCAAGTCTTGTACAGCGCTGTAAACCCTTGGCCTTCTCTTAATGAGCTTCATGTGCTATTTGAAAACTGTTAGAATTCATATTATGGCAAGAACCAATCAGCTACTTAAAGAGAAACGACAGTCCATTGTTACTCTAAGAACTAAAGATCATTCAGTCCGTAAAACTGCAAAAACTTTGAATGTGTCCCCAAATGCAGTTGCAAAAACCACGGAGCGCTACGATGAAACTGTCTCGCATGAGGATGGCCCCAGGAAAGGAAGACCAAGAGTCACCTCTGCTGCTGAGGATAAATTAATCTGAGTCACCAGCCTCAGAAATCGCAAGTTAACAGCACCTCAGATTAGAGCCCAGAGAAATGCCTCACAGAGTTCCAGTATGAGAGGAATTTCTACAGCAACTGATCAGAGGAGACTGGGGGAATCAGGCCCTTATGGTCAAATAGCTGTTAAGAAACCACTACTAAGGAGAAGCAAAGAGCAGAAGAGATTTGTCTGGGCTAAGAAACACAAGGAATGGACATTAGACCAGTGGAAATCTGAGCTTTGGTCTGATGAGTCCAAATTTGAGATCTTTGCTTCCAGTGGTACTGGTACATTGCACAAGGTGAAGGGAATAACGACTAAGAAGAACTACCTCCAAAGCATTAAATTTTTACTTAGATCAGTGGCTAGATGTTTAAAACTTGGACAAAAATGACAGTCATGACCAAACCCATCAAAAGTGGTTTTGAAATGGATCAAGCAGGCTAACACTAAGCTTCTAGAATGGCCTTCCCAAAAGGTACATGCCAGGAACCCAACCAATTTAAATAAATGATCTCAATTCCTTCAAGAAGGATGATCAAATATCCAAACAATTATGTCAGAAGCTTGTTGATGGCTACAAAAAGCATCTGATGAAGGTGCAACTTGTTATGGGACATTTCACCAAATATTAGTGGGCGGAGTTATGAGTGTATTTGAGTTCAAATACATAAAAATCTCAACTTCTGCACCCAATTCTTGTTTTTTTAACAACTGTACCCATTATTTAGTTACTGTATAGTAAAAAAATCCAGGATGAATGAGAAGCCATGTCGTAACAAATTATATTGGTAAGTTCTCCCAGTTTGAAGATGTGGTAGAGGATAGAGAGGCAGACACAACTAACAGCAAATTATCATTTATTGAAATTGTAGGTGGAAAATTCAGATAAATAAACTGCACCACAAGTTAAAAGTCCAGCTGTCTTTCTCCAGATCTCCACAACACAAATGTTTTTTCTGTACCACTAAAGCAGTGTTAAAGTGAGATGGCTCACGCAGTATTCTATCACTCGTAATTTTTTACATATTACAAACTTACTGCCTGTATCCTGCGTTGTTCATCAGATGCCACCGGAGGGCGACAGAAATACCTAAAAAAAACAAAAACAAATCACATGTTTATGTTTACCTCCAGCTGTTTCACCATTGATCAAAAGGACGGGGCCACAGCTGTGAGCTGAGCAACTCTGAGTAAGATATCCCGCATGCGCTTTCTAACACTTCACTGTTACCTCACACAGATAGTCACCGAGACAGAAACACACTATTTTCCCCTCTTGCGTGTGTGTTTGTGTGGCTCTGTGGGGAGAAAGTCAGTCACAAAAGAAAGTACTCAAACAGTGAGCGCACGCGGTCGACCTCCACCTCCGTTTTTTCCTTTCATGGCTGATCTTTGAACCTCGTTAACTCCACACAGATCACTCAGAGCACCGCAGCGGAAATTGTACCTCTATAATAATTTAGGCAACTGGATAAAACCCCGATATCTCCGACCCTGGAATGGATCTGCCTCTGCGCTGCGTGCGGTTTCCACGGACAGCCTAATTCTTATTTCCTGGAGGATCAGTGAAATGCTTTGAGTAAAGCAGAAGTAAAAAAAAAAAAAAAGAAAAAAAAAAAGATTTATGTCCACTAGAAGAAACTACATCGCGTAAAAGTAGAAACTACATCGCTTAAAAGTAGACAATGTTGAACCTCATATGTTTTCTAACGTGCGTCTTGGCTTTTATCACAACTTCCCAGAGTGTGCGTGGGAATGTCACTGATGGAGACGCGTTTTTGGAGAATATTATCCACTACTATGGTGAAAATAATTCCATTACAACAACGAATCTTGAAGATTTACTGCTGTTGATCTCAGCCAGACGATCTGACTTAATAAGTAAGGAAAATCCACTGGAAGAGCAAGAGGTACAAACGTATTCTATTTCCTATATACTGCAGTTTTTATTATTTAAAGTTATTGATCATTAAAGTTGCTTACGACCAAGAATGTTTCTCTGGGGCTTACAACCACACACTATTTGACCTTGCATGTAATCCTTGAAATATTGTGTAGCAATGATATATGAGTAGTCTTGTAGTGTAATTACTCATTTCTTACCCCCATATATGCAATTATAGAACATTTTAACCTTTATTTTATTACTTTTTATTATCATTATTTTTTATTTATTTTACATTTTTACTCAAGTCCTCAAAGTTTCTCCATGTGCCATATGGTCTCATTTCTGCCTTTAAAAAGACTCTAAATGACCTTAAACTTTCATCACTGAGCAGAATTGTCTTCAAATATTTCTTTACTGCATGTCTCTTCTGCCACTTATAATGAAAGTTTTAATTACACAGCATATCCAAGTACATGCATCACAAAGGGCTTCAGAAAAGAAGCTGGTACATTTATATTTAAATGCATGAAAATTATGTCTAATAACAACTTTCTGTCCCTCAGTGTCTCTCTGCAAAGCAGATCTTATCCCAGTTTGGCTACAATAATGTCAGTCAGCTGACTGTGGAACATCTGGAGAAGATCTGCCCTGCTGTGTTGACCCAGGTGCTGCTGCCTTCCTGCCCTTACATTGCCCCCGAGGAACTGCTTCATGTGGACTACTCTGGTGAGCCAAATCATCCCAACGTGTCTATTTGTCAAGACCTCTGTAAATTCAATAATTTGCCAGGGTTTGCTTGTTTACTTGAATTGGGTCAAGAAAATTTTTGTGGACAGTCCCATTTATGGCGAATGATTTTTAAAGCTGCTGTTGATAGGTTTTTTTTTCTTATACTGACCCTGATAAAGAAAATGTGGGACATTCTTGATTCTGATTGCTTAGAGATGGTTTGAGAATGGTAATAATAATTTATTCCTGCTGGACAGTGCAGAAGAAGAATGTTGTAGTTGTGAAGCTATAACGCGCCACATTGTCGGACTCACGGAGCCACTGACCTCGCAGATATCGGCCATATCAACAGTCCTGCTCAGTGCTGTTGACACAGTTATAGCCAACTGTGACTGTTGTTCAGCATGTTGTTCCCGAATCATGCTGTTTCCTCTGCTGGCCTGAGAAGAATTTCTCTCAGGCAAATAAATAGTAATAGTATGTTTTAAAATCTCGAAATAAAAGAGGCCTGACACTGAAAATAAGAAAATCTATTCACCATTAGATTATATTTAAGAAAAGTAATTTGTGCCCACGTTAAAATAATAACTTATATCGTCGTATTTCACTAAATAGCATTATTGCTGGTCTAATAACAATGTCTGGCACATTTATTGAAGTTCTTTTAAAAAAACTGGCAATGCTCAAAAACAATAAAACACACACATTTGCAGATGGTGTTAAAAATGCATTTAAGAAGGTATATTTATTTCTGCAGGCGAGTTTGGTTAGCTAGGGTTTAATACTGCAGTGTTTCACAGGTATTTACCTGCACATTCCAGGTTCTTGTCACATTGCCAGGCCCCATTTTAGTAGGTATGTTGGAGGTATCGAGGCTGCATTTAAGAGTCCAGAAAGAAGTAAAAACCTTGAATTCTCGAGAACCTTTTCTTCTCGTTTTGTGCCGTGACAGTGTGGGGTTATGGGTTTCTGGCCGTTACTGTGATCAACCTGGCATCCCTGCTTGGTCTCCTGCTCATCCCGTTCATCAAGAAGCCTTATTTCCCCAAAGTGCTGACCTACTTCATTGGTCTGGCCATCGGGACGCTTTTCTCTAATGCTGTTCTTCAGCTCATACCAGAGGTTTGTAAATGGATGAGTGAGTAAAATTAAGCTTGTCACTGGTTTTTTGAGAGATGTTTAATTGTTTCATAGAATAATACCTATGAATGCACACACACACTCTAGAAGTCTTCTCTGCACCACTGACATTCTCGTTTTTTCCATAGGCCCTGGGGTTTGATCCTAAAGTGGATCACTATGCGACAAATGCAGCTGCAATATTTGGAGGGTTTTACCTCCTGTTCTTTGTGGAAAAGATACTGAAATTATGCCTCCGGATGGACCACGAGGTAAGATAACAGTGCAGGAAGTTTCTCAGGTTCAAAGCACTATAATGTTGTCATTCCCTCCTGTTTTACATCTGACATTGAGTATGTCTGTTTTATTGGATAATTTGATCACTCTAATAACACTTCAAGGTAGTCATGTGTACATAAATCATTTCTTATCAGAAATGACACGCGAGATATTGAAGTTCACTGCAATTAGGTGCATGTACAGTTTGGACAGTGACACAGTTTCTGCAGTATGTGCACATTACAGTGACTAGACTGACTGTTTTAAAATACACGATGATGATGTAGTGAGGTAAATCTGCAAAATAAAAAATGTGTCATTGTCTCATTATTCATGGATCTAACTGCATGCTGACCTTATTATTTGAAACCCAGCCCATGTTTAGCACGAGTAATCGTATATTTAGGGCACATTTAGGGCAAAAGTCCAACACTGAAATCTTTATCTTTTGGGTCATCCACACATGATCACTCAAAGAGTGTTCAAAGAGCAGTCCAAAAGTTGTACAAAAGGAGAAAAGATGTGGAAAATAACAAAGCGGTAGTATGGAAAATCGAAACTAGAAGAAAAAGAAAACATGAGGAAACCCACCAAAACCATAAATCATGACACAGATAACAAGTAAACACCTAAAATAGCCTAAATGTTATGAGTTTTTAAGTTCCTGAAGTGGAAAAGGCTTCTTTAACCTGAATTTGATGTCTGTCTTTTTAGCACGGCCACAGCCACTTCACACTTTCAGAGACATCTCAGGAAAACTCTATCCACAACGGAGACGTGGTGGCAACAAAGGACTCCATCATTTTAACCGCCATCACCACCGTCGCTACAGACAAGAGCAGCCCAATCCTAGATACAAACGTGGAAACTTCTCAGGTAACATTTGACACGTGATTGCTCTTTAACAGCAGAATAAACTGCGCAGGTTTGGAAGCCAACAGGTATCAGCTCTAGGTCACATCAACCTATGGAACAATCAATTTTATAATCAAAGACATTTTATCTAGAGTAGCTCAAATGTTTTGCTTTTATCAGCTAATGATAAGCTTGTCAATCTACTGAACCTCTGTTGAAATTATATCTACAGCATGTGTTTGATTGATAGAGACTTGCTGTCCAGCAAATTTTGCTATAAAAGACACACCTCACAGGAAGCAATCATGATATGCTGTTAGGATGTGTGATATGCATAAATAAATTGAAAAGGTAGGCAATATTTAAAAATATTTATTAAGCAGGAAGCGATAGCGCAGACATTTCGTTTTTTTCCTGGAGCCGTTTATTGAGCTGTTTTCAGGCTGATTGGCGTGTCTGTTAATATTTAACAACATTTCTTGTGCCATACGGAGGCCAAGCAAACAGACTTGCTGATGACAAGAAGGGACCGAGCAGCGAAACCAAGCTTCAGGTCTTTCCCCTCGGTCTAAACGCTGGAATTGTCAAAGGAGCACAAAGACTCCTTGTGTGCCCACTGCTAGTAAAAGGGGTTTATTGTTACTGCAGAATGTCTTTAATCAAACCCCAAAGGCGCTGTTTGTGTCTGCATGTTCTCAGGTTTCCTATTAACAGCACGCGTGCCATTATATGTGTAAGCGAGGAGTGTGAGTAATGCAATGCATCCACTTAGAGAAAATATTTCCTGTTTTCAATTAATCAGTATTATTCTGTGGGTTAAAGATGAAGACTCTTTCATGATTAAAGCCTTTAGTACCATCTTTATTTTTGGACTTTCTAGCTGCGTTACTCTTTCTATGACAGTGTAACTATCGCTCAACCTTGAGATCCAACTATTAATAGGACTGCTGATAAATTTCTTAGAAACACACATTCATTTAGCATCATGTCCATGTTCTGTGGTAAATGTCGTAAGAACTGGATGAAATCGTTTAATATCAAGATTTGTGTGTATCCTTTACAGTGGATTGCAACAACATTGGCATTAGCATCATAATTCAGTCAGAATTTAACATTCCAAACTAAGATGTCAAACTATATTAACGCTTAGTTTACTTTTTATAATTATCCGAAACATTCACCAGCAGGGGGCAGCATTTTCCTGGTGGGTGTGTTTAGTCTTTGATATGACTTTATAGCTATCCTCATTTCCTCAAAAGACTATGGCAGGTTTGTAAATAATAATAATAAGTTGTGTTGTTGTTGTGTTCTTATTCATGTGAGGTTCTATTTATCTGATCCTGTTAGAACAAGATCATTTTTATTGTGTCATGATAATATAAAACCTTAGAATTGAAAGAGGATGTGCTTTCCTCTCACTGTGAAAGTATGTGATGTAGCTACATGTTGTCTTTCACACTCACTATCAAAACACAATCAGGCATTAGTCGTAGCCGTGTATGTGTAACTTCTCCTGCCACTCTTCCAGGATGCCGAGGTGCCTGATGTCATGTGCCGCTGGTTGCGGGGCCAGCGCATCCGCAGCATCAAGACTGTGGCGTGGATGATAACTCTAAGTGACGCACTCCATAACTTCATAGATGGTCTGGCTATCGGCGCTTCCTTCACAGTGTCTGTCTTGACAGGGTTCAGTACATCCACTGCCATCGTGTGTGAGGAGTTTCCCCATGAGCTGGGTGAGTGATGTGTAGCGGAAAATCAGTTTCAGCCCCCTCATGAGTCATTCCAAACTCTGCTGTGCAGCCAAACTTTGCATTGAATGTGCCTGTACATCCTGTATCTATGGGCATGTAGAGACAAGCTGCAGAAGTGCCCCAAGAATACATGTTCTTAGAAATAATGGAAAATATGACTTGCAACTAAAAAACTTCAGAAAAGACATGAGTGGAAGGAACATGTATATATTTACAGTTAGAGTTCAAACTTGCTTTCTGGGTATAAAAATGAAAATAAATCTTTTCATGAAATATACTGTAGCTCGCTTTAAAGGGGGAAATGTGACTAACAGACAAGACAGAAAGAAAAAATGTTGCTTTAAGTATAATGTTCAATCTGCTTGTGTAAAAGAGCTATTTTGTCCTCTCAAGGTGACTTCGTCATCCTGCTGAATGCTGGAATGAGCATCCCGCAAGCCATTTTCTTCAACCTGTTGTCAGCCGTGTCGTGTTACATCGGCCTTGTGTTTGGCATCCTGCTCGGCAGCAACTTTGCCCCCAATGCGATCTTTGCCATTGCAGGAGGAATGTTTCTGTATATCGCTCTGGCGGACATGGTGAGTTGAGTTCTCTTGATGGCAGATACAAAAAAAAGCAGAACCAACATTTATTTAGTCAGTCACTGGACTTCCCCAACATGTTCGAGGCTTCCACTCTATTAAATTACTGATGGGTTTCATGGTTGTCTGCATGTAGCTTTTTATGATCATTCAGCTCCATTGTCTTTGTTTTACAATGCACAACTTTTCAGCTTAAAATCGCTCGTGTTGAGTTTATCAGTGTTATTCCTAGAAAAAGTTGTGTGCTATCTGTGTGAAGCCTCTGATACCTGTAAACTCTGTGTACACTCCTCCTGTTCAAACACGCTGTGACCAAAATGGAGCATTAAGACAAACATTTCATGTGAATTAAAAGTAGAGAACATATTGGACCTATCTTTAGCAGATACTGGAGAGACTGTCAGCTGTGGATGGTTTGATAAAAAATTCAGTATGCCAGCTTATATAATATGATAATATATGTCAGTTACACTCTGTGACCACTATGTTAGGTACAGCTATTCAGCTGCACGTTAACCTTGATTCATTTAGGATCAAAAAAGAACTGCTGAAGTTTAAACCCAGCATCTGAATGGTGATTTAAATTACTTTCAATGGTATGAGTTTTGCTGATTTACTGGGATTTTCCTCCACAACCATCTCTAACATTTAAAATAAAATACCTTGTTGATATCAGAAATCAGAGGAGAATGCTAAGCGTTCTTCAAGTTGATAGTAAGGTGGCAGTAATTCAAAACCAAGGTATGCAGAAGAGCATTTCTGATAGTCTTTAGAAACAAAAGGCAAAATGAAAGAACAGGAAACTGAGCCTGCAGTTTGTGTGGGCTCACCAATATTGGACAATAGAAAGGAAAATCTGGTTGGAAGAGCATGTCAACAACTTGAAACAACTATTAACAACTCGAAAACAGTGAGTTTGTGCACATATACAACTTGAAAACATGGGAAGGTGAGGGAGAACATTTCTTGACTCCTTAGTGAGCATTGTTTAAACATGGCAGACTACTATTACCAACCATCTCCACCCCTTTATGACCATAAAGGTTAATGCACCATGTCCCAAAGCTCAGATCTTCTGAAACTAGTTTCTTGATCAAAACAGTGAGTTCTCGGTACTCAAATGTGCTCCACAGTCAGAGCTCAATGTAACAGAACACTTTTAGGATGTGGTGGAATGGGAGATTCACATTATTGATGTACAGCTGTACAGCTACAACTGTGTGATACTGTTATGTCAATATGCACCATAATTTATGAGGAATGTTTCCAGCAACTTGTTGAATCTATGCCAGTTTTTCTGAAGGAAAAAGACGCTGAACTGGTACTAACACCTAATACCTAATAAAGTGGCCAGCAAATATAGCAGTATCCTGGTAATATTCAAGTGTAGGTTTAAAATTAAGTCAAAAATACATATTTAATTAAAAGGTTCAGAAATGTGTATGGCACCAAATAACCTTATATTTTCCTGTATTTCTGTAAGCTGTCAGTGCCTTTTCTACCTTTTAAGTTTGGTTAATTAAGGCCAGTGAAATAAAAATATTCACTGCAGTATTTGGTATTATAAGTACAATGTGTTGTGTGAAGAACTTTGTTTTTGTTCCTGTTTTGTTAATCAACTCAAACCTTCAGCTGTTTCATGTAAAGGAACGTATTTAAGAAGGGCAATTTATTTAGTTTTGGTTTTCATGGAATTTGTTAACAATGAGAAAACTTCCCTCGTTTCATATGAACCACATGAGAACAATATAACTGTAGCCATACAAACCTGAATATTTACACTTCTTCTTTTTATATTGTTGCTTCCCAAATCTAAACCTCAACCTTGCTAATTGCTATTCCTCATTTCAGTTCCCAGAGATGGACAGCATAGCACGGGAACAAAAAAAAACTTCTACGAAGATCGTTTTCTTCCTGATCCAAAATGCAGGGCTGCTAACCGGGTTTACCATCATACTTCTGATCACCATGTTCGCAGGAGAGATCAACCTGGGCTAGAGGACACAAGCTGGAAATAAAAATAGATTCGAGCTGCTTCTGTTTCTGCTCACAGCTCACAGAGCTGGACTGCAAAGTAAATTTAAAGTGAAATCCTGATGTTAAAAGTTAAAACAATACTTTTCTACCTTTGTACAATCAATATAGTGGAAGTGTTTACTCCATAAAAAGGGAATACCTTTACATCGTCATGTATGAAATCTAGATGTATTTTAAGGAGACAATAAATTATTTTTTCAGCCTTCATGTATTGTGAACTATTTTATTTTTTAACCTTTTCAGTGCTACACTGTAAACCAAATTTTTTGTTTCCCTTTGTGGCAGGAAAATGAAAATGTTTGACCTCTCTGACCTTTTCCAGGTTGTGTTGCTGCGGCTGTATTTCAAACGTGCAGATTTCTTTTCGCTGCCCTTTCTCGTTTAGGGATTTAACTGAATGATAATTACACCAAGACTGAACTGTGATTGATATAGCAACTCTTTTAATACAGCAATTGATGTAGCACAATATAATCTAGTTATTATGCTCCACTGGACAAAGACATATAACAAAAAAGCTTATCAGAATATGTTTTCTTACTTTTTTATGAGCTCTCTTCATTATCCTCAGGGTGACCTGACAATGGAGTGATTAGGACACATAAGACATGGGAGCAAATGCCTTCAGTGGTGGTTCCTGTTTAGCTGGGCTGTCTGCTCCCCTATCCATCCTCTAAATACCCTCATTTCCCATCTCTCTTCACTGTCTTTGTTAAGTTAAAGCATTCAAATATTTTCAGAAATGAAATAAAAAGTGATTATCGTAATATGTGTGACACTTTAAAAAATAAATTACTTTGCAACGAAAATTTTTAAAAATGGTTTCTATATACAGACTATGAAATGATGAAATGTACAAAAAAAAAATGCTGATTACATAAGTATATGTGTATCTGAGGATATAAACAGTGATTGAGCAGAAGAATATTGCATATTAGGGCTATACATAGTTGATGTGTGAGGACATCTTAATTTTTTAACTCATGAAGGTGAGTCTTTAAAACAATATTCTTAAGCAGTAACATGTATATGCAGTGTACTTCTGAATCTGCAATACAACTTACACATCACAGAGAAGGCTAGGGATACTATTTATCCTTGTAATGTAGTGAAGTTGTTTGGAAACGTAGCAGGAAACCTGGCAGTGCACCACTGCAAAACTGTGATATTACAATGATATTGCGAGTAAAGATTTAAACTTTACCCAACATTATCTCCATATCTGGAACAATATCTCCAAAAAGGCTGTAGCAACAGCCTAAAACAGTAACAGTAAAAATATATTAATACATTAAATGCATTAATATCAACCCTAAAACACTTTCACGCCAGCTTTCAAAGTTCTTCCGACGATCCCTGAATGTAGCACGGTAGACATGAGGAAGTAGTTTAGGAGCCAAGCGAAATGAAGGGCTTTTGACTTGGGGAAACTGAATTTACACTCCACTTTCAAGGACTTGCATAAAACAGGTAAGTCGCATTTATTTTGTGGTTTTTGTGAGTCATAAAATATCAGAGCAAACTGCAGTCAAATCCTCAGCGCCTTTGTGAGGTTAGCACTGATGCTAGCTTCTGTTGGCTAATCTGGATTGTTTATTCACCTTTTCTGAAAGGACACGACGAGTTTAATATGTGAACGTGTCCCGTCTACTATCTGGTCAAATAGCGGACAGTTAGCATTACTAAAGCTTATTTCGGTTTTGGGCTAACTCATGTGATGTGCCTTCAGGTGTGTTTAACGGACATTTCGATCAGAGATGAAACTGTTTAATTTTTAAAATAGCTTCCAACTCCAGCCACACCGTGTTTGTTTATTTATGTTTACGCTGTTTATTCTGGTGCATACTTTACGAGTCATTTAAGCCAGCAGGGTTTTCTTAATCTTTGTGATGGTCGACATTTTCGCTTATATTTGGAAATAGACTACAGTCAACAGGATTTATAAAGGGGTTGCATATGAAATAAAGAAGAAACCTGTTCTGCAAGTGTCTTAATGACTCTGTTATTGTACTCACATTACAATAAATCAAGCCATCCGATGGAGGATTTCATTATTATTAACATTTATTTCGAGAATAAAGTCAAAATGTGGAGATTTCATTTGTTGTTTCAAGTGCCACGGCTGTTTTACCCTGTGCAATATGCCTTGTGCAGAAGAGTTGGTGAAACAACGTGATCAGCTGTGTCTTTAAAAAGAGGTAACGGAACAGGGCATTTGCATCACGGGTGTGCGACCGATAAATCTGCAACAGCTGTGTGATGCTGTCGTGTCAACATGGACCAAAGAAGAAGAATTAAGGGAATTCTAAAGGCAAATCGGTGTCTAACCCGATACCAGAAAGGTGTACCTAATAAAGCAGATGTTGAGTGTATTATCTCACTGAAATATATTGGTGTCTGTATTTTTAGGTTATAATTTCTGCAAAGACAAAATATATTTTTCTGGAAATTGAATTGCATTCAAGTGTTGATGATTAGATGTCTTTACTACCACTAATTAGTACAGAAAATGATTGTTTTCGCCTGAGATAAAGAAAGCTTTTGTCAGAGTGAAAAAAGTGATTTTGTATTGCAGATTTGTTTGATCCCTGCTTGTATTTTGACATCTCTCATGTCTTTACCTCTGTGATTGAAAAGCTGAACGAGCCATGGACAACATTCAGATCCGGAAGTTTAATGATGAAGATGCTGATGTTGTGAAGGAGCTCTTCACCTTGGGGATGAGTGAGCACGTGCCTTCATCCTTTGTGCATGTTCTGAAGCAGCCGCTGACCCAGATGGTCCTCATGTGCATGTTCTGCGCTCTCCTGACCAGCTCTAAGTCCTTCTTGCTTCCCGTCTTGGCCGTCACCTTCTGCCTGGCTGGAGCCCGGCAGATGGTCGTCTACATGTTCAACAAATACATCGAATCCACGCTCAGAAAGGACCTCAACAACATCAGTGAGACCTACCTGAAAGGGAAAGACTCATGCTTTTGGGTGGCTGATAGCGATGGCCGGGTAGTGGGTTCGGTGGCTTGTCTTCCTGCTGAGGATGCTCCTGGTTGCTTGACGCTGAAACGCATGTCGGTCCGCCGCAGTCACCGCGGGATGGGCATCGCAAAGGCTCTGTGTCGTACAGTGGCTGAATTTACTCGCGACAGGGGTTACGGAGCTGTAATACTGCAGACTTCTGTGGTGCAGACAGATGCTCAGAAGCTGTACGAGCACATGGGCTACAAAAAGATAAGAGAGTTTGTCGTTCCAGAGTTTCTTGCCAAAATCCTAAACTTCACCCTGCTTGAGTACAGACTTGATTTACAGCAGGACTGAAGAATGGACTGAATCAGATATAAACACTGACAACCATTTCAGGGCAGCAGTACAACACATTTATCTAGTTCCTCCACTCTGTGTTTTCCCAGCATGTATTTGATTGAGGCAGAAACACTCTGGACAGGTCGGGCATGGGGGGTTGAGATGGAGGCGTGTTTACTCAACACTTGTAGAGCTGGTCCAGTTGTGTTTTCTCCTGTTTCAAACACACACAAGATCGTTACTGTTTTATTTGTGTGTAAAATAGTTGGTTCCACAAAATGTTAAAGTAGAAAAACTCAGCTTTTGTTAAGGGTTTTGTGTTGATTTGTCATTTTATTTAACTTCTACATGATTTTAACAATAAATGTATACATCTGAACACAAAAGCTGCGATCACTTTTGCAGTGTTATTTCAAATCTGTTGTTTTTGCTCAGTTTGTGATGCATTGATCCAATACAGGAGATCACTAGAGGCCCTTTTAGTAACTTGGCCACAACAATCTCTGGTGTCAAATATTCATAATAGTTTGGTTATAAATTTCTCTCACTGTACTTTTCTGTGTTCATAATTCTATTAATTTTGACAAGATCTTTAACATCACCAGATGTTAGCTAGGTCCAAACAATGAGAGAGCCTCCACTGTTTTTAACAGATGGCTCTACACTCTCACTGTTGCATGTCTCTCCTTACCTCCTCCATATATGTATTGAAACATTTTCTAATTTGGACTAATCTCTCCATCATCTCCTTCGACCTGTTACCACTGATTTTCAGTCCAGTTCTTATATCATTTGCCATGCCTTATCCTTGACAGTCACTTTTCCACTGGTCAGGTACAAAGACTGGACTGAAAATACACGAAAAAGCAGTCAATGCCGACAGAAAACTTTAAAAGAACTTTAGAAACTTTGAAGAAGTATTCCTCAAGGCCCTCTTAAAAATGTTAAGATAGTCTGGCTGCTTGGAGTAAAATATAGATAAGTGAGGGGTAGCTTAGGACTTTTGCACAGTGGTGTGTAATGTTACAATGCATGCACTACTTCTGTTTTATCCAGAAATACACTCATATATGTACAAATCACTTAATACCTCTATGCGTGGAAAACTACCTGAAGTCATCTTTATTTCTATGGTCCTCTGAGCAGAGTGTTGAGACTATAGATTGTACTGCTGGAGGCCCAAAAAGGAAGCTGACAGCTGTTCAGCCCAACAGTGTCTACTGTGGGCCAGGGGGAGGTTGTGGCTGCAGGGTGAAGAACCCAAACAGATATTTTGGGTCACTGCTTTGGTTTGAGTTTATTTTACATGCTATATGCCTCGCTGTAAATGACTACCACCTCAATGATGCTCACCTGTGTCAGGTTGTTGTTTTATTCCTTAAAAAAATAATTAAAGCTGTGAAGAGTATTTTTGTTTCATTTAAAATTTATACTTAAATTGTGATATAAGGTACTTTTGTACTTGCCTGTAATCAGGAAATAAGTACAAAATAATGCCACGATAAATAGCACAAAAATGACAGAAAAAGGCAAAATTTAAATTTAAAAAGTTATTTCATTTTTTATTGATATAGCCTCAGTCTGTATGTGTTTAAACCGTGTCATCTTTGTGCTGCTGAGCTCGTTTAAATACTTGAGTTTTCATCGGGCCCCTGAGTTTGTGTCAGGCGGGCTGAGTCAGGCAGCAGCTCGGCCACCTCGAAGCGGATATGTCCGGCCAGACCTCCATGGATGGATGTAGCCTGTCAGGGACGAAGCGGAGCAGTTAGCCGGATATTTTGACGTAAGCAGGTAGGTTTTAGTGCATATTTATTATCTGACCGTCGGGGTTTTAACTCAGAATACACACACACACCTGTCTTGAACTATAAGCTTGTGGGGTTTCTTAATATTATCTCTTGGATATTATTTTTTTTATTCATTTATTGAAATTGCCAAACGAAGCTAACGAACGTTGCTGCTAGCAGCTGATCAGGGAGTGTCTGCCTGACAGCTGACAGCACCAAATGTGAGCGTTAAAATTAAGGTTTAGTATTAGTTACAGCTGTTAAAATTAAATGTTCTCACATTAAAACGACTAATAATGAAGAACATGGCAAGTGTAATGAGCCTTGCTTGCTATTACGGCGGCTGTGTCGATATCCAATCCTAAAGGGATGATTATTCTCGGTTAAATTAAATAATCTTCTAATCCAGATTGTTTTTCTTAATTTGTCATCCAGTTTGGTTAATCTGTCGGGAGAAAATGTCCTGTAGGGCTTCAGCCACACCCATGCTGTGATTTATTGTGATTACCAGCAGAAGCAATACGCAGAAATGTATATAGTTATTATTTTAATGTGTAGTAGTATCTTAATTCTTTCCCAGTAATACATGTATAAATAAGATATCATTGTATGTCCCGATTATTGCAGCAGAATTTCAGCCTTCAGTAGATTTTATACACACTAGATGGCACCAGATTACATATGTAAACATATGGTACAGACTATAGACATGCACACTATAAATACTTTATACCAGTTTATACTAAGGGTGCTTTGTGTTTTATGCACTCAAATCCTAATTGAATGCATACAGGGTTGAAGTGCTGGCTTTACACAACTATTCAACTGATGACCTACTTTTCTTTTATGCATTGCTCAGTGATGAGACCATCCTGAATATCATTGACATGCAAGCATTACAGGCTGTAATTCCCCCAGTATTCTCCAGCAATTAGACACATTTAAAAACAGTGTTTGAAAAAAGGTTTGCATGGTCACATCTGCTGTTTTAATCTCACTTCAAATAAACTTGAGTGACACTGCTCAACTACACTGATTACAATTTAAATGTATAATTCAGTGACTCAAGTAAGTCCATTAATTATGTTTGTTATTCACATAAAGATTAATAAACCAAGCTAAAAATAATCACAGTAACCTCAATATTTCCTGACCTAAAATGAACAAATTATTTATTCAATTTATTTCAGTTAGTTTCTTTTCTTTAACGTAGTGTCTCCTTTTAAAAATGGTCACCTCTAAAACTCTACCTGGATGATGCTGCAGTTTCTTTTTCAGTCGACCGTCAGCTGCTGTGTCCATATTGGCAAAATTTGTGTCATATAAGCCAAGCTTGTGCTAAATAAAAGCTGCCTTGGAGCAATAGTTATGCTCGTTTTTACCTTGTTGAGTGATATTGATTTGTTCCTCCCGGACAGACAGACAGAGGTGCAGTGTGGCTGTAATTTTCCTGCTTAAAATCCCAGAGTGTCACCTCTGTTCCTGCGTCCTTCCCGTTCGCTGGTCTGAGTGGGCTCAAAGCAGCAGCACCGCCTCTTTCTCAGTTTCTCTTCCATCATCTTCTATAAGGAGGACGAGCTTTGAATTAGACTGTCTGCTAGTCTTTAGAGAGATAAGAGGCTCCCCTTCTCTATTTCTTCCCACAAATGCCCAACACCCCCGTTTTTTGGTTCTGCCTCCATCATTTGCATAAAAGGGTGCAAAGACACTGCAGAGGTTTGTTTTGTCCCTAAACATCCTCAGCTATCCCCCAGCTGAAATATTAGTCTGTGGATTGCATATATGGCTGGTTTTTGTTGTTATCCTGGCCCATGTTTGTTGCTGAAGCTTAATATGTCCTGCATCATTTTGAAAGGAAAAATATTCTCCTCTTGAAGGCTTGGGTGCCAGCGTTTCTCATCAGCCTCTAAGCTGAAAGCTTTTACACAGAAACCCTGCAGCGCTTGCTTCCATTGCAAAGAGATGACAGCAGAGAAACAGAGATGACTGGGAGTTGAAAAGCTCCAGCCATGCAGTTAGCAGATAAAAGAACTAATCCTTGCTCTGTGATGGGCCACAGTTTTAGGCTGGACCCTAATGCAACCTCTGCTGCTTTTTGCTTACAATGTGCTGTGTTATGGAGCATCACCTGGACCTTTTGTGTTCAACCACAATGAAACAGCAGTTGATTAACTTGAACTGGTTCACCTCCCACTGGATGAAAAATGCTTAGCACCTGTTTTTTTCTTGACTTTCCCCCCCTCCCAGTTCTCACTCTAGCAGATGAAAGAAAGTGGAATGCTTTGTAATAAAAAAAACACACACACAAAAAAACCCTGGAAATCCATTATAGGCTGCAGTGCAGCGAGAAACTAGGTTTAGTGTAATTTCAGCCTTTTCTTTTGATGTATTTACAACCCCGTATGTTTTTTCTTTTTCCATTCCCTGACTGATTAATCATAACTTGAGTCAATATTATTAATTTTTACCTTAAAAGTCTGTGTTGCCGAGGCTAAAAGTAGCCTTTGATCAGTGCACTCATGATAAGAAGTAAAAAACAAGCCTGAACCTCTGCATCATCCTAAACAATGAGGGCATGCACGGGAATAATAGCTGTCTATTTTGAGAAGCATGTCTGCAGGCTTTAGGACCCAGCAGCACTGTCTGGGCCTAAACCACCCTCCCTCCTGCAGAAGCCAGCTTAGACACAGCACAGTGCAGTGCTGCCCCTCAGCTGATGCGCTCACAGCAGACCCAGCTTGGCTTTATTTTTTCCCCGTCTTCATATCGCTGCTGTTCGCCTTTGGCACCTTTAATCAGATGGCTGGATTGGCAGCATCCTCCCCAGCAGAGACTTCCTGATATGGTGAAAAAAGCTCCCGCAGACTTTGGCTTGTGGGCAGCAGAGAGGCGGGACGGTGGAGTTTTGGGAGCTCGGGCTGTACTGTGAGCAATAGGAGAGGGATGGTGTGATTCTGCGAGGAGACAGAGAGGAAGAGGGAGACGCTCCGGCAGCATCACTGAACCCCACTCCCCTCTCCTCGACCCCCTTCTGTCTGGCTGACGCTCTCCCCAATAACACGCTCTTTCAGTCAAGACTGGCAGTTTTGAGTGGGGGGCTCAGCAACCAGAAATCATGTCACACACTAGGAGGAATACGTACACCCGGGTGAGTGGATATATATACGCTCAAGGTAGTTGAATGAACGGTCTGAGTGACGTTTAAGTTTGTCCTGCTCAGCGGGCCATTGTTTCTGTAAGGTTTCTTTGATTTGTTTCACTCTGTCATCCCCTCCTTGTCAATTCCTGCCTTCAATAGGAGGGTTTCTAATCCATTTCACTGCTGCATTCCTCTGTCTGAATTGTCGCCTCTTTGTTCGGCTCAAATGCCCCTCCGGGGGCAAAATCAACATTGCTGCTGCGATGTTGAGAGCTCATACCTTTGCTATGACTTGACTCTGACGACCTGTGAACTAGTAGGTAGGTAGTTGGCTCGCTTTTTGTTATCAGCTAAACACACAATCCATGAGCCCAGAAGACTTCCTGTTTGTCATCCGTGTCTGAGTCAGGCGACTTTGCTGTCAATGGGAGGGATGACATCAGTGTGTGATCTTACATGTCAGCTTACTAAGCAAAAATAGCTCCTAGACTGTATGGATTTTAACTTATATGGAGGCGGTCTGTGGCAAGCACGCATATGACAGCTTTTCTTGCTTAAATAAAACATCGTGCTGACAATCAGAAAGCTACATGCGTGTTTTTCATCTTATTTCAGCTTTAAAGTCAGTGCGAGCCTTGCGTGTGTTGTAAGAGTAGAGTGGCACTAAATAATTCAGCACGCCCTCCTTGGGTCTTCTGCCTCCAGCACATGGCAAACGGTTCTAAGCAATGACTGAACATCGGTGAATACATCATTACAGACTCGTTAGCTTTCAAGTTTTCATTATGACTTCAAGTATAATCCCCTGATGGATGTGTGATTGCAGATTGTTGAGCTGTGTTGCCCTGTGAAGCCATATAGACTGAAGTGATTTGACGCTTTAAGTAAAAGCTTCGAGGACTCAGCTGTGACGTAGAAACTGTGGAAGCATCATTTATTGCTCATGACTAGTTAAAATGTCTCGCTCCATGTTGGTCATGAATTATAAGAGGAGTCAATTTGACTTTAAACAATTAAGGGCATCCAGGCTTTGAATAAAAGCTGCCACTTAAGTGAATATCAGCAGTGGCTGTCTGACTTCATGTGTGAGGAGCTATGGTTGTTTATAATAAAGATACATGTATGTAACTTTCATCCAGTGTAGGGATGGGTATCGTTTAGGTTTTATCCGATACCGGTGCCAAATCGGTACTTTTGAAACGGTGCCGGTGCTCAAACCGGTGCTTAAAGAATGGAGAACACAAAATTGGTCCAAAAACCTCTCATGTTCAGCTGTTTTTTGTAAAAAGATAACAATGTTAGCCTTTTCTGCAGCTATGGGGCATATATGGTATCACTCTTGGCTGGAAGCAGTGCTTAAACAATGGAAAAAACACAAACTTTGTCCAAAAACCTCTCATGTTTAACTGTTTTCCACTTTTTCTTTGGTCATTTTAGCCTTTTTGGCCAGGGTGAAGGGAGTATCTGCCATCAAACAAGAAGACAGCCGCATGTAGCTATGATGATGTTTGCTAGTTCACCTTACATGCATTAATGTAATAACGTGGTTAGCCTACTCAACGTAAATTACACATCGAACAACATGTAAGCTACTCACGCAGAGAAGAACGGCTGCTGCTGCCATCATCATCCGTCATCATTTCTGCTACACTGGCAGGGCTAGGGGCCAGGACTCTCCTCTTCGTGTTTTTGGGGGATGTTGCTAAAGCACCCCCGCTAGATGTGCTCGGTGTGAGGTCTCGCAGCAAGCTATCAAATACGGCGCATTTCTGGGCTTTAAAAAAAACGCTATGCGTCGCCAGGTGTTTCATCGGATTTGAGGTGTTACCTCCTTTGACAGTATCACAGTATCAGCTTAAAGCACTTGTTGCAGGCTGCTGAGTTTGCATATTTTGCTGTGAAGTACAGCCAGACTTTTGACCGCTTCGCCTTGGGACATTTTTAATCTGTAGCTCTGCTCTAACAGAACGTACGTACCTGGCCCCGCCTACTATCCTCGGAAACGTAAAATGATTGGCTAGAAGTGTATCACAGCTCAGGAAAAAAAAGCACCGAAATAAAGCACCGAAATGTGCGCTGCTTTTCGGTCTGGTTACTACCGTTTATGTCAGAACCGGTGCCATCATGGCACCGGACACCGGTACCCATCCCTAATCCAGTGTGAGGTGAGTGCCTTTAAATCATTGAAACACCAACTTTATACTTTAAATATGTTTTTCAAGCCAGGATTTTATGACCATTAAAATTCTTGGAGTGATTGTGCAAAGCGCTCCTTACTTTACAGCATTCCAATGTATACTTTGCAAAGTTTCAGTGACCTTACATTAGGGTACTGATTGTCTAAGACCTTTAGGCATGTGGTTTAACCAGATTTTATGTTTTAATGTTTTCATGAATACTGAAACTCAAGAATAATGCACAATGTAGTGGAAGCTTCATGCTTTATGTGGAGCAGATGATCAGATTAGATTTTGAAGACCTAAAAGCTAACAAGTTCAAACTTATACCAAATATGTAGTACGGTAAGCCACATGTTTGAATAAAGGGGTTTCCTTGAACGCATGAAATTATAATCCAGTTAACAAAATGTGTGTCTTGGTCCATAAATCACATCAACTGTTTTTGAAGCTTTTGCTATCTGGAAAAACAAATGGCAGTCCAGTGTACTTGTGTTGATTTCTTTTGAAGAGAGTAGACACCTGTTCATAATACGTTTTGCCTTTATTGAGGACCTTCACTGTAGACTTAGACGCCACTTTAATCACCATGCAGGCCAGAGAGGACATTAACCGAGGCTCACTAAAACAGGACTGGAAAACTTGTTCAGCTGGTGTTAACTGTTTGGACATTTTTGGAGCGAGTGTGTCACAGAAAACAAGAAGTAAAGTCAAATGTTTGAGGTTTATGTTTAGAACTAGAATGACCATAATGTACATTTGTGTTCAGAAATTTACATCGACTCATTGTGGACATACATGTCACAGGGCTTTGAATTATTTCTTTAAATTGTTCTTTTTGCAGAGTGGAATAATTGTACAGCATACATCTTCATTGACTTTAAAAGCAAGAACTGGGAACACAAGTTTAAATTTATTTTGGACTTTCTCTATTCCACACAGGGCAAAAAAAGTTACAACCACCTCCAGTTTGGTTAAATGTCCCTTGGCAGGTTGCACCTTGACCAGGTGCTTTGGCTGGATATTTGACAACATTTCTTGGAAAAATTGGTAGAGTTCATTTACATTTTAAACTGGTTTATTGTCTTCCTTTTGGGAAGGCTGTTCCAGAAACTTAATGTCAGCCTGCTTTTTTAAATTCCAAACCAGTTTTGATGTGTGTTTGAGATGATTGTCCTGTTAGAATACTGTGTTCAAGTTTCAACCGTAGCTGTTGATTTGAGGTGAAGTTGAAGGATTTGGAGGTAGTCCTCTTCCTTCATTGTTCCATTAACTTTTTTCAGTGTACCAGTACCACTGTCAGCAGAACAGCCCCAGAGCATGATGCTACAGTTGGTACAGTGTACTAGGTTTGAAAACCTCACCTTTACTCTTTCAAACATACCTTTTGTCGTGACCAAATAGTGCTGTCTTTGTTCTGTCTGACCAAAAAACCTTTCTCCAGAATTAGTTTGATTTATTAATGTGGGCAGCTACAAATTTAAATCAAGCTTAAAGGTGTTGATTTTACACAGGCCCAATGTGTAGTGGATTTGAAGCAGAGGTTTCTTTCTTGGTCGGCACAAAAGATGGCTCTTAGTCCATTGCAACGTGAAACTGGCTTCACTGTGGACAGTGACGCTGTCATGTTGTGCTGTGTGGAGGGCAGGAGATTGGACCCAAATGCAGGACTCGGAAAAGGTTAAACTAAAGTGCAGCATTTATTGCTGGAAGAACTCTTCATGAATACAGGGCAAAAAAACAAGAACTCAAAGCACTAAG